CGTAAGACATTATCGCCTTCACGGCATTGAACTATATTTCCGTCATTTCCTACAATTCTAAATCAAATCAATACTAATGCTAACAAAATAAATCAATTCAATCAGTAAGAATGATAATAATAATAATAATGTTGAATAGTTGTTCTTTAGTTTTACATTGGTTTAGACATTTAAAATAGATAACCTAATTTTAAATTTTCCTTAATGTTTAATCGTGTAATTAATATTTATTAGACTTATTTTAGCATGATTTAGTACTTCTAAATTATGATAATTTTCATTATGACTTATCAATTTGCAATATTTATTTTATGCGATTTCATTATTATTTTTCATTGAATATTTTAATGTCATCACTCATCTCATATTTTGTGTTGTTTTTTTAAGAAACACCTTAGATAGTTGTATTTTGGTAGAAATATTTGGAGCACAAATTAATCATATGCTTGTATAAATACTTTACCGGAAAAATCCAAAAGCCTAAAAAAATCTGATGTTTATTAGTTTAGTTTGATTTAAAAATTTCAAAATTCGACACAAATGGTTTGGTTTGGTATTTGAAAAAGCCAAACCAACCCAAAAAAACCCGAGGTTGGAAAATTCGAGTTTTATTAGTTTGTTTGACTTATAATTTAAAAATTTGACACAAGTGATTTGATTTAATATTTGAAAAACCCGAACCGACTCGGTCATGTACACCCCTAGTTTAATGGATGAACTTTAACTCTTTAACGTAATGATTCTCAAAGCTATCATAAAGTTAATAAAAGAACAATTGACTAGATTACATGCTTATAGGAGTGGGCATGGTATGGTATATACTGAATTGCTATATCCTATCAAATTCTTTGATATTGTGATTTGGTATTATGGTATTTTGTATGATATATGGTATATTTTTAAAGTTTTTGGTATTCGGTATGATATTTGATATTTAGAAACAACATATCGAAATATTGAACACCATACCGAAGTATATAGTTACATAAATAACATATATATAATATTAAAATACTAAAAAATATCTAACCTAGTATTAGTATAAACTAAATGTTTAGAAGTTAAAACTTTGACTAATCTATTTTGATTGAAATGTACCTAAATGTAATTGATTAACAAAAGGAGTTGTTTGTACTTTCTTTTGAATATATATATATATACATGTATAATGTGTTAGTATGATTCAATTGAGACTTTTTTTTTGAATTATCGAAGTCATAATTATCTACTATATGAGTATATATTAGTTGAAGTTGTACAAATTATGGTTAACGATTTACCATACCGCAAAATATCAAGCTATAGCAAATTAAATTGATATGATAATGATATAATAGTTTTAAAAACCGAATACCGTAAATTACGGTACCAAAATTTCTAATACCATTACATACCACCATGCCCACCTCTAGTACCCCTAATATTAGATACAATAGATTTATTTTATTTTTATAACTCATTTTAAAACAATTCTACACCATTTTTCTTACCCTTTTTAGCTAATAATTGGCTTTCCCCAAATTTTGTGACTTTAATTTATGTAATATTTTTATGTAATTTGGATTATCATTTGTCTGTTACTTCATAATAGAAAATCCGTTGAGTTATAATATACTTCCATATTTTAGGTAATATTTCATTTCCATCGTACAAAATTCCTCCATGTAGAAAATCATTACGTTTCATATTGGCCTTCTCACATAATTTCATCTCATTGAAAAATAGGGCAAAACATTAAATGTCAATTTAAAGATATTTTACTACTACTAATTAATTTATGTTTTATCATGGGTGTTGACATATTAAAAAATATATTTTGAACTATATCGATGGTATATTTGTGAATTTAAATTTTTGCAAGTACAATAGCAATTATATTTTATGTACATGTTCTTTATTTATAAACCATACTTTATTTATCAATCAACTTTTATATTATGTAAAGTGCATACATGTTATATAATTATATATTCATCTTGTATTCTTTGTATTTGATGTAAATGTTCTTACTTGTAATGTATTGTATGTGATTTGTATATGAGATGTATAATTAATATTATAAAAATTACAAAGCACATACATTCTATTGTATAAATATTATATAATTATATATTTATTGACGGCATTACTAATAACATTTCCACATTGGTTGTAGTATGTTTAGGGCTCAAGTGTAGTTTTTTTATTGGTTAATTTGATCCTTTATAATCTAAGGATAATAGGTTTTACGCAAATGTAGAGCATTCTGATTTCAAGAATACGATAACACTTATTTTCTTGTGCCTCAAACTTTTCAAATAAAAGCATTTCAATTGTTAATAATCGAATCTAATGAGTTAAATTAAGACGCTTATTCTTGGTCTCATATAAATTTCATTATAACATCTTTTTCAATAAAAGTACCAAATCTAATACATATATACTTTTTTGTTTCAATATATTTAATTTGACCTATTTTGATTTGGTACAGAGTTCAAAAAATAAAAAAAGACTCTTCATTTTTATAATCTAAATTTAAAAATATGTGAAATATACCAATTTTTTTATGCGAAAATTGAAATTGAAAAACAAAAATAGCTCGAATTGAATGTCTCGTGTATATTACTTATTCAATAGCTAAGTCAGCGCGAAGAGTAAGTACAAATTGGTAACGAAGAGTGTTTGTTACTCAACAAATTGCCTAAAAAAGAGGAAATTGATGATAGTATGATGATACTATGATGTTCGAAGAGTGTTTGGGAGGTCAAAAGTATTTATTTTAAGAGAAAATATTTATTTTAAAAATTAAGGTATGTGTATAAGAATAATGTTAAATAGAGTGTATTAGTAATGCTTGCATTAGCAATGTACGTATTAGTTATGCTTGCATTAGTTGTTATACATAGATTATTTTTATGTATTATTTGGTTTGATGCATTTAAAAAATAGCATGCATTGCATAAAAAAATTAATTTACAAATTAGATACCCTCCACTATTATGGCAGAAAAGATGTAAAAAAAGTTTTGAGGGGCAATTAGGTCTTTAATCATGCTAATGCATGCATTAAAACCATTGCATTGCTAGTGCCTAGAAATCCATCGTATTAGCAATACACACCTTAATACATAATAGAGTGTATAACTAATGCAAGCATTAGTTAAACATAGGTTGAAAAAGAGTACCAAAAAAAATCCTAGTAATATACAAGGCTAATGCATACCGTGGCGGACCTAGTATTTTGTATAAGTGGGTTCAATTAATTAATAGCGTTTACCCCAACAAACTATTTGTTTGTTCATTTTTTTTATTAATAATGTAACCTTTTTTTTTACAACTCAACACTTTTTCTATTTAATGAAGTAGAGATTTTTTTTGAAAATTTACAAAAAAAATAATATTTACATTTATTTAACTAAATCAAAGTAAATGAATAAACTATATAAAATTTCAACGAAAATAGTTGCATGTTTTAGCAAAAATCTATGAAAGAGGGTATCAAAATTCCATTAACAAAAAAATAAATATATATTAAAGTAGCAAGATTATATGAATTTATTGAATTTGGGTATTAAAAAACAAAATATACAAGGTGAAATATATTTTAAAAAATAATAATATAAATATAATAATTTATGAGCTAGCTACTTATATAAATATTTAAATACAACAACTAATAAGTATAAATATTGATGCCTCGCTAACGCATTTCCAAAAAACAAAAACATAAAACTCTTAAAGGGGATTCAAACCTAAGTATCCAACATGAACTTGAACCATCGTTCCACAATAAATCTTTGTATTATGTGGATTCAAGTTGTTAATTACATCAAATTTCACAGTAATTTTCCTTACATATATGGTGAATTTCGAAACAAAGTGGGTTTAACTGAACCCGGTTGCAACAACGTGGGTCAGCCCCTGAATGCATGCATTATTTTCCTAATACACTCTATCAAATGACCTAAATATGCTTTTAAATAAAAGTAGAAACAATTTCTCTGCTTATTGGAAGAAGATAAAAATTTCTATTTCTTAAAAGCAGGAAATTATATTATTCAACACCAAAATATCACTGTCATACGTCATAGTATTTACCAATATATATTTTATATTTATTTATTTTTGTGGTGAAATTCTTTTTATGGAGTGACTTAACTTGTGGAATGGTTTTTCAAATTTATTTTGCTTGGTGTTTTTAATTATATTTTAAATCATCACGTTAATATTATATTAATATTTAATTTATTTTTTATTTATGTATGTATAATATTGATTGACAATTTGAGTATGTACATTTTAATAATAAATGTTTATTTAAAATTTTATAATCGATATTTAACATAATTTCTCTCTATATATTAAAAGTGCACTGATACTTATTTTTCGTAAGTAGACTCTCAAAAATACTTTTTAGAAAAGATTAGCCAAATACAAATTGTTTATCGGAAACACTTTTAAAATGAATTAGTCAAACATAAATTATTTTATTTCAAAAACACTTTTTTTTTAAAAACTATTTTAAAGATCACTTCTACAAATAAATCATTTTTAACAGTAATGTCAAACAGACTCTTAAAATTATAATCTTCCTTGAGAGGTAACAAATTCTACCATAACCGTTAGGTGTTTGTTTGGTAACGAGTTAAAGTTATGTGTTAATGATATAAAAATTAATTATGTGAATTTATATAGTATTTTAGTATGAGTGAGTTTATGTATTATTATATACAAGTATTAGTTACGTAAAAATAAGTTATTTATGCATTAGTTATTTCATGTTTGGCAAAAAATAATATATTGATTCAGTCATAACTTAAACATATAGTATTAATTATACAGATTTCTAAATTGTCAATCAAACATCGTATTAATCAAACATTGTACAGCTACCAAACGACCCCTTAATACCTCCAAACGGCTGTATATCATTGGCCCAATGCCCTCCACCGAATATCCTTCCATAAAATTCTGCTCCCTCTCTGTTACTCTATAAAACCAACGCTTCTACACGAAAAAAATAGGAGTCAGAAAAGTAGAGAAAAAAACAAAACATACGGAATGAGTGAGTCACTGAAGCGAAATTATTGTGTGGGTGAAGAGTTAGGAAGGGGACGATTCGGAACCGTTTTCAAGTGTTACTCGCCGGCGACCGGTGAGTCATTCGCCGTCAAGTCTATCGACAAGCGACTAATCGCCGATGACGCCATAGATCGACAATGTCTTTACAACGAAGCGAAAATTATGCACTTGCTTTCGCCCAATCCTCATGTTGTTCGTGTTTTCGATATCTTCGAGGACGATACTCACCTTGATATGGTTCTAGAGCTCTGCAACTCCGGCGATTTGTTCCAACGCCTCAGTAGTCAACCGGCTTTCTCAGAGTCCGAAGCTGTTGATGTCATGGTACTCTTCCAGATCACCAAAATCTCACTCGTTGCTGATCAAAATGGGGAAATTTTACTTTTGCTTCGTAAAATGGCTTGAATCAGGAACGATCTACGAAGCAGCACATTGTTGAATTTTCGAAAATTGGAGGAGAAAGTAAATTGTAAAGCTAAGCGAAGTAGAATTCATATTCGGCATTTATTTTAGTTTTTCGTCATGTCTGATAATTTTTCTGCTTAATGTTTGTATAGGTACCACTAATGAAAGCAATAGCGCACTGTCACCGTCTCGGTGTAGCCCACAGGGATATCAAGCCGGATAACATTTTATTCACCGACTCGAACGAACTGAAATTGGCTGATTTTGGATCGGCGGAGTGTTTCCATGAGGGACAGCTGATGAGCGGCGTGGTTGGAACGCCGTATTATGTGGCGCCGGAGGTTTTAGCTGGGAGAAACTACAGTGAGAAGATCGATATTTGGAGTGCTGGTGTTATTCTGTATATAATGCTTGCCGGAGTTCCACCTTTCTTTGGTGACTCGGCTACAGAGATCTTCGAGGCTGTGCTCAGAGCTAACCTTAGGTTTCCGTCTAGGATCTTCCATTCAGTATCGCCGGCGGCGAAGGATTTGCTTCGGAGAATGCTCTCTAAAGACGTTTCTAGAAGATTCTCTGCTGAACAAGTTCTCAGTATGATTTTTTCACTCAACTCTTGACCAAATTTTCAAAAAAATAAATTAAAAAATACAATAATCATGAATTAGTATTAATTAATATTCAGATAAATCTAATTTATCCTTCTTTTAAAGAGTGAAATTGATACTTTACCCATTGATTACTTCTTCTTTTTTGGTAATTAAGTACTGTGAGTACTAAATTGTGTTAATGTGGTGTTGATAAACAGGGCACCCATGGATGACTAGCAACAGAGAAATCAGAACAGTTGCGCCATTTTAGCTTCGAGCAATCAGTTCTTCTTGGATGTAGATATAGTAAGTGAATATAATATGTACAGGCACCAATATACCCTGGTCTAAATTGATTTGCTTCAACACAAATCAATTTGGAGTCGAGAGGTAACGGTAGATGCATTAAATCCCCAATTGTTTTGCGAGGTTTTAATGCATCTTGTGAGATAATGAATAAATCCTCTTTTTCCTTATTTGTGATCTTATCCAAATTTGGCAGTAGTTACTAAGTAAACATCATAATGAACCAACTAACTACCCATATCATTAACTTAAATTTGGTGGTGTTTCGTATTGAGTACTGATTATTTTTTCTTAATATATACTCATATATAAGTTTATTTTTTTTAAAAAAAAAAGCAGATAAGGGTACCTCAACAGGTAAGTAGTACTTTATGGTGTTAAGATTTGATATATTGGGGTTGGGTGGGCATGGTAGGCTAGATATCGAATATCATAGCGAAATCTCTAAAATTTTAACATGTGGTTTGGGTTTTTATGATATTTGGTATGCATTTTTAAAAGTTTGGTTTTTCGTATGACATTTGTTATTTATAAAAGAAATACCGAAATATCGAATACCATACCAAAATATATAGCTACATATAAATTCATATATATATATATATATATAATACTAGCAAATATACAAAATAGTAGTAACTAATTTAGATGTTGAAATTTCGATTACTCTATCTTGATTTAAATGTTCTTTTTGGGTGATTGATTAACAAGAAAATTGTATGTACTTTATTAAATATTTTTACATGTATAAGGTCTTAGTATGATATAATTGAGATGTTTCTTGAAAATCAAAGTCATAATTTTTCTATTATACTAGTATATGTAAGTTGAAGACTTGGAGTAATTGGTTTATCATACCGTAAATATCGAAATCGACTAAAATACTGAATCATACTAAATTAATTTGATATTATAAGACTATAGTAAATATATTCAAAAATCATAAACTAAAATAATCGAATCAAACTTTTCAATACTATATTGTATCGTGCCCACCCCTAGGATCAAGTCAAGTTAATTGGGCCTACTTTTGGGTATATGTGTTCTGCACTTATGCCACGTTATTGGACTTAATTTGATGAAAGCATAGGATCCATGGGGATGGGCCAAAACCATTCTCTCCACAAACCTTAGGCCCATGTGTTTTCGTTGAGTACATTTTTGGGATGAATTATCAAAGCATATTCATTTGATTTGAATGTATATGGATCCAATCTGACAATCTATGTAATAAAAAAAAACTTTTGTATACATTTGAGTGGGGTATATTTTTATATTCTTTTATTCTATTTTAGCATATCATAATTTGATTTTTGCTTGTATGCTTATTTTGTGATTTAACTTAAACTAGATGATTTGACAACTCTGACTAAAAATTAGGCAATATATACTACGTTTACTTGTTGCTAAGTGTATCTTCTATTCTAGACTTCAGAATTTAAGTTGTCTTAATAATAAGAACCTCCTCTTTTTAACTCAAATAAATTTATATATTTATTTAAAATTATGCATCATTACAAACCGAAATGACTGCAGTACTGCTGATGCAAGATTGTTATGACCAGTTAGGAGTGATACAAATCTAGTTACATAAAGTCTTTTCAGTAATAATCTTTTTAAGTTTAAATGGAGGTCTAAATAAATAAGCGTACACAACATAAATTTCACTAATATAATACCTAATTACTTTCCTTCCATTCCGTTTGCATAGTTGGATCGTATCATATTTTCCCATCCCAAATACATATATTTGTCATTTCCAGATACATATATTCAAAATATACAGTAGTCACTAATAAGATACATATCATTAAGTCTAACAGTCTAACTAATTAAGGGATGTAACAGAAAATCATAAATTGAGGTCAAAATCACACTTGCAATTTGCAATATTTTGGCGCATCGTAAAAAAAATAATCGAAATCTTTCCATTTTTTTGGGAGATTCAACAGACTTATTTCACTCCTCCTTAATTCTTCTTCAATAATTTTGAACTTTTTTTTGTTCAATAAAATATCATTGTTTTGTTGAGACATTCTAGAATGTTGCCTTATTGATGATGAACTCAAGAATAGTGCTACTTACAATGATCTCGTTGAAGTCATTTCAACACAACAACAAATCAATCAATATCGAAAAGGTATAGAGATCAGATACACAATTGAAGGAAATTCAACTCTAATGGAGATATGAAACAAAATGGACATGAGATTGTTTATGAAATTACAATGACACATGTATCTTAGATATATATATATATCACTTATAAGCTAAAACTGATCAACTTAACCAGATACATGAACTCTTAATTAGATACATGATCAAATACATATTTTGATCACCATCTCTGCTCCTCTCCAATTTGTCTCCTCTCCTCTCCGGTCAAAGGCCTTCAACTCTGGCAAAAACTCCATCGAATCGCACCTTGAAATATAATAATCAAGAAGAATAGAATTATGATTACCGTTGCTAATATTTATATTTTATCATTCTAGACTGTTTTTTAGGGAGTAATGTATCTCCATACATCTCAACTAAATTATAATAGAAAATTCTTAAATAGTGGAATGCTTGGTAATTATTATTTGAAAGCATAGGTAAAATTTATATATATATATATATATATTATGAATGTATGACCATTTAGATAGTTTACCCAATAAATTACAATAACAAACTAAAAAGAAACTATTTACTTTATAAAATAAAAAAAGCGAAAAGGGTAAAATAAATATTTTAAAACTATGTAAAATTGAATAAAAATACTTCAAATTAATAATTTGCTTTTAAATTGCTCATACCATCAATAATTTAATTAAAAAAATGTCCCTATTATAGAAATACTACAATGTGTCCATTAAGAGGGTGACAAAATTATGCAAACATCAACAATTCGGGTATTGTATTGTTGGGCCTGGATCTGTATTGGCAAAGCAGCCCAATAATATATGGAAAAATTGTATGAAATAACAAACTATTAATTCAAATTAAATGTTATAGTCATAGTTTATTTTATTTGTAATTTGCAGCAAACATCCTATTTTTTTGTAACCTGATTCGGTATACAATTAGTCATTTATACATTTCGGTATAAAATGCGTTTGTGTTTGTATAAAGCGAGAGAAAAATGTATATACAAATACAAATACATATATTTTCGTCTTATACACTTATATTTACCCCCAACCCCCCCAACCCCCCCTCCCCCCCCCAAAAAAAAAAGGAAAAAAGAAAAAAAAGAGAAGATAGTGGGGGATGATCATTATTGAATTAAACTTACAGAAAATTCTATTTGTTCATGGTGAAGTGTGAACAGTGCAACTGAAATACAAGTTGCAAAATTCTATAATTATAGTTTCTTTTATGACTGCTACTCTTTAAGAAAAAAAGGAGAAAAGTAGTACTAGTAGCAGTATTTAATTTGATAGTAAGTCATTAGCAATGATTAATGATTGATGACACTAATTGAATTTAAGAAAATTAAATTTGATCTTAGTGGAATATGACTTGGACAAAGGAAAAAAAGAGAGACATACTATGGCAAGATTATACAGTAATTAATATTTAATGTTACTTAACTATACTAAAATTGTTTTGTGGACTTAGAAGAATTCAAAGATAATGAAGGCACGTTATCTATCGTAGTATATAGGAAGGTTTGTATAATCTTTTATTTCAATATTATTTATTTCTACTGAACAATTATTTTGAACTCATCCACCATTTCACTTAATTTTGGATTCTCGTATGGATAAAGAGTAAATATTTCCACATTATAAAAGCTAAAATTATCTAAATTACTTGTTTACTTATGTCACTTGGAATATCAAATAAATCTCTCCATCGATCCTCATAATTCACGCTTTAATAATTTGAGTAGTTAATTACAAGGTGTACATAATAAAAGAAAACTCAAAATGTGAATTGTAAATTGATTAGTTAGATTAATTGTCTTACTAACTAAATTTGCTTTGGAGAGTGGTTATCCATAAGAATGACTCGGCATCGATCCCCCTCAATGTCTTCTGAGTTGAGCATGTCATATAGGGTTTGCCTAGTGCGTTTATATCTCATGTATGGTTTGCAGGCTATTATATTGTTGGGGGTTTACCGGATGCGCACAAAGTGCTCACCTAAAAGGCAAAGGCCATGACAAAGATTGTAGCGATTGCGGATTATTCTCTGAATTCCAAATGAAAAAATAAGAAAATAACTAGAGTCTAATTACTACGTTTAGTTCTCTCATATATTGATCTTTTCTAGGGGCATCTAATGGCACAAAATGTGTACTCATTCATTTATGCAAATTAAATTTTCTCCGTGATGTTTCTTAATCGATTATATTATACAATTTTTTATTTATATTGAGAATTTGAGGTTACGCTTTTCTTTAATCGTGTATGAACACAAAATACTTCGTGTATGGAGTATTTTTTTTTTCTTGCATTGAGAATTTGAACGCAAAATATTTCATATGCACGTGTTTTGAAAATATACATGACCATTTTTTTCTCAAACTGACCTAGGTTAAATGCAATTGCTTGCTTTGTTTTCACTCAATTTGACTTTGACTTTATTGTCTTGTAGTGACATATTTTCCATTTGCACTAACTTGTACCGATTGTACGCAATGGCGGAGCCAGAACTTTGACAAAGGGGTGTCAAAATATAAAGAAGTAAAATCGCGTAGAAGTCAAGGAGTGTCAATATGTAATATATATACATAAAAAAATATTTTTAGTCTAGCTACACAATGTAATTTTTCAACGAAGGGGTGTCGGTCGACACCCCTCAACTTCATGTGGCTCCGCCACTGGTTGTACGTAGTCTTTCTTTAAGAGTTTTTATTTACATAAAGATATTAAGGTGAAAATAAATGAGACAATGAAAATTGAATTCATTTTATACGTAGAAGACTTCTTTAGGTATATTATTTTTATTTTATATTTGGCATTTGGTATTTGATATTATTTGATATTCGTATTAGAGTTCGATTAAATTCAGATTCGTATATTGCAAGACTCATCTATAGATGAAGCGCTCTTAAAAATATCTTTTTTCCATTTTCAAAAGCTCGAATTTAAAATTTCTAATTGAGAATTGAAAATTAGGATACATCCACCACATTTCATGA